GTCATGAAAGCTCCTCTTGCCTTTTGAAATCTTATTTTAATATCTTGATCAATTCCTCCATCTTTATCTACATTACTGCCCAAATAGGTGTACGACTCCACGTCTTGGAGTGGGGTGCCATTTAGAGAAACCACATTACTATTTGCCTGATTTACTCTCATTATCTTTGTCTTTCCTCTATGGATTTTCAGACCAAGCTGCTGTGATCTCGCATCTAGTATATTTAATTTATCTTGCATCTGATTCCGTGAATGGGACAGAAGAGAACTATCATCAGCGACAGTCCAGATCATCAAGCTGTTTTGTAGGGGTCCACTGAATTCCATTCTTGGTGTTAGCAGTTACTGTTGTCATAATCCAGTCTATAGCCAGTAAAAATAAGAGAGGCGACAAAAGACATCACTGTCGCACACCTGTTTTTATTTCAAATGTATGTTAGCTTTCCCTCATAAAGAACTCGACATTTCATGTATTTATATGTTGCATTTACTAAGTTAATAATTTTCTGTGCGATTCCATAGTGTCCCATCAATTACCAGAGAGCTTCCCTATCAAAGCTGTCAAATGATTTTTCATAGTCTATAAATCCAATTTAAAGTGGTGAATCAGTTCAATGCTTTGCTCTATTATAATACGTAATGTGGCTATCTGGTCAGTACAGGATCTGTTTGACCGAAAACCTGCCTGTTCATCTTTTAGCATTTTATCAATAGCATCTTTTAATCTTTCCAAAATAATTATACTCCATAGTTTTCACACTCCTGTAAATCACCTTTATTTGGGCAGTTTCACAAAATATCCTTTTCTCCAGTCTGCTGGTATTTCTTCAGTCTCCCAGACTTTACTGAATAATCTATGTAGCAATTCTGTTGATGAGTTTATGTTGGCCCTGATGGCCTTTAGCTGGGATACCATCTGGGCGTGCCGACCTTCCTTCCCTGAGAAGATTGATAGCTTATCTAATTTCCTCATTGCATGGTATCTCACAGTTGATATCCAGCTCTAGCTTTAGCAGCTCTAGTTATGCTATTGTTTAAGTCTGCCTTTATACTTTTCCTATCTTCAATCAGTTTAATGGTTTCTGGTGTTACCCATGCTTTATGTTTCCTTTCTTTCTTGCCAAGAACCTACGCAAGATTCATTCAGATTCCTTTGATCTGATCCCAGCAGACTTCTGTCCTGACATCTTAAGTTTACTGCTGCAACACCTGGTACTCATTAGAGACTGTAACTGAAAACTGTTCCTTAACTTCTTTATCCCTGAGATAACATACATTATATACGTTTCTATGATTATAAGATGTTTTATATCTTTTTAGTTTCAACTGAATTTTACTTACCACCAGGAAATGGTCAGTAAATACACCGGCGCCTCTTAAAGCCCAAAAGCCCTAACATCGCGTCTTTAATGCACCAAAAAGGACGTCCTAAGGGACTCTGCCATCCTCCATTCTCCAAGTGTGACCCAGCCACCTGAGCCTTCTTAGACTGATAATTGAGAAGACTGTTGTAGTACCTGCTCTTTCCAGTACCTCAGTATTTGTGATTTTGTCCTGCCACGTAATGCCAAGTATTCTTCTTAGGCATCGCATGTGAAAGATATTTAGCCGTCTCTCCTGGTGCAAATAGGCTGACCAAGTTTCACTGCCATGAAGCAGTGCTGAGAACACAAACCTGATAGATAAGGTTTTTTTTTTGTTTTAATGGTGAACTTTCCGTTCTCCCAAACTCTTTTTGTCTTTTGTCTTTTTGTTAATCTACTCATTGTTGTTGCTGCCTTACCTGTCCTGATGTTAATTTCTTGGTCAAGCGATAGTTTGTTATTCACTGTGGAACCCAGATAGGTAAAATGGTACCTTGGTTTTTACAGCCTGCAGTTCCGATTTTGTCCTAGCTCCAAGCACCACTGAAGCATACAAGCTGTGGAAGATCAACACCTTATTGGCTGGGGGCTGCCCAGGTTGAGGAGGGCGGTAGTTGATCAGTGACATTCGAAGATGTCTCCCACCGTCAGAGGCAACAAGTGGCGCCCTCGTCTACGCTAATTGACAAGGACTTATAACCCGTAACTGCTGCCTCTCGATTTGTTTCCGAGACCAATTACGACCAGGGATGAAGTTAATCCACTCTATAGCACAGAGCCTGGGCAATATTGTAGAGACAATTTGCTGACCATGCATCATGATCCCTCCTTCGACCTGCCTTATTTACTCCAAAAGAAAGGTAACACCAGTACTTTTGGAACAAAGCAGGCTGCAGAAGCTGCCGGATCATGAGGGCAGTGCTCTATCTGTCCGCCTGTCGGATCTTCCCTCCTAGACCAGCGACAAGCCAAGGCTAAAGGGCCTGGTCTGCCCTGCCAATAATTACATGTCAACATGTTGCTAAATATATAACATATCGACTTTACGCTGTGTGCCCCAAACAGCTGTTACAGGAGAACTTTCTACCTGAATTGTGACTCAACTCCGCCTGTCCTCTAGCGTTATGTTTACTCTGTCAGGCCAGGATATGAGTTACATTACAGCCCAACATCCTTGCTCCAAACTCAAGGGAAAGGCGAGATGGATATGCAATCAGTCAGTTACTGGTGCCAGCAGAATTGGAACTTGATGCTGAAGTTGGGGACGGAGCGCATACGGGAACGTCCTTAGTGGTATCATGTCGATTCCTAATTAAACTATCAAAATTCAGCAACTTTTTCGAACCTCGAATATAAACAGTCAAAATAACAACTTTCTGAGGCAAACATAATGGCGACAAAGTGTGAAGAACAACCATGTCGAGAAATGTTGCGGCTTCTTGTAAACTCAAATACTTTTTGTCATATTAAAGAAGATAACGGCCTGGAGAGTTGAGCTGAGTTAAGACCACTCGAGGCATTACCATACGACTCCATCCCCATCCTCAGCAGCCAGCGCAGAGTTACAGTACTAATGGTGTCGGTCGTAGTCTGGTTGTATGTCCGTCTTGCCTTTCGTCTGATCGTAATGTGTCAGCCGAACCCTCTGGTCACACCCAGGTGCATCATTCTTCCTAGCCCATAATAATCTAGTTTCTCTTCTGACTTCTTTGCTTGTCCCCAAAGGCCTATGATTACATCTGTATTGTCATGTACCAATTCACCACTTAGCAAATCTAGCCAATCTGTCTGCCTGTTCATTCCCCACCACACCGGCATAGCCTGGAGAAAATATTCAAAGTATGCTTACTACCCGCGACCTTGCAAGTGAAGCTTGCAACTCTGCTCGGTCTGGAGAGGGCAGTAATGGAGGACATGGCTCCCGAGAGACAAGGTAGGGGTAGATCAGCACAATGGTAATCTTTAGCTGGTCACGACTCCAGGTTATTTTGGAACTATCTGTCTGAGAGACGAGGAACACATAGCCTGCATGCATGTAACACGGATTTGCACGCAAAACAATCAAGCTCTGAGATCAATACCAAAATCCAGAAGTGGACGAACAACCAGAACTTTCTGTCAAAGTTTACTGTCAGTGAGCGCTAAGAAGAAAAAGAAGAGGAAGACGAAAATAAGAGATGACTAAGAAAAACTGGTATAAGACTGGCTACCTCATCTCCTAGAAAAACTGGTATAAGACGGGCTACCTCATCTCCTAGAAAAACTGGTATAAGACGGGCTACCTCATCTCCTAGAAAAACATGGATTAAGACGGGCTACCTCATCTCCTAGAAAAACTGGTATAAGACGGGCTACCTCATCTCCTAGAAAAACTGGTATAAGACGGGCTACCTCTTCTCCTAGAAAAACTGGTATAAGACGGGCTACCTCATCTCCTAGAAAAACTGGTATAAGACGGGCTACCTCATCTCCTAGAAAAACTGGTATAAGACGGGCTACCTCATCTCCTAGAAAAACTGGTATAAGACGGGCTACCTCATCTCCTAGAAAAACTGGTATAAGACGGGCTACCTCATCTCCTAGAAAAACTGGTATAAGACGGGCTACCTCATCTCATAGAAAAACTGGTATAAGACGGGCTACCTTATCTCCTATAAAAACTGGTATAAGACGGGCTACCTCATCTCCTAGAAAAACTGGTATAAGACGGGCTACCTCATCTCCTAGAAAAACTGGTATAAGACGGGCTACCTCATCTCCTAGAAAAACTGGTATAAGACGGGCTACCTCATCTCCTAGAAAAACTGGTATAAGACGGGCTACCTCATCTCCTAGAAAAACTGGTATAAGACGGGCTACCTCATCTCCTAGAAAAACTGGTATAAGACGGGCTACCTCATCTCCTAGAAAAAACTGGTATAAGACGGGCTACCTCATCTCCTAGAAAAACTGGTATAAGACGGGCTACCTCATCTCCTAGAAAAACTGGTATAAGACGGGCTACCTCATCTCCTAGAAAAACTGGTATAAGACGGGCTACCTCATCTCCTAGAAAAACTGAAGTTGCAAAATCCAAGCAGTCCTGAACAAATTTAGAGATGGCTAAGAAGAAGAATAAACGGGGCTTGTGGAGATCTGTACATGTGTTCGATTGTCATCCCTTGAGGTGTTTATGGTGCGCACTGTAATCCTGGAGGCGACAAACTGCAGCAAGGTGGTGCACATGGGATACTGAGGACACTCTGGACGTGGCAGTTCACGAGGCTGAAAGGTTAGGCAGGGACACAGGGGTTTTCCTGAGTGCCATGATAAAAGCGACTTCTGCAAATATACGATGGTGATGATGATGATGAATTTACTGTTTTATGCGTCACATGTTCATTTTCTGTTTGTTGCTTCTGTTTTGACAAGTTAGAAACAGCAGACAAAAAAATGGTCAGAATTTACCGTAATTCAAAATACAATCACCGACAATATATATAAGGCAAAATAAATGTTCTTCATAACTGCAACAGTTTAAATAAGCGTATATTTATATGCTCTTTCTGGAACATAAGCAAAGTCCAGAAATGAACGAACAATCAGGATTTATCGCCGTAGTTTACAGCCGGTGAACGCAAAGCAGATGGGGAAGATGTCATTCAGTTTGGAGACGCTCAAACCGGAACTGAGTTGCAGCCACTGGTTTGCCGAGTTGGTTCTTGTCCACGAAAGAGCACAGGCTGAACTTGCGGCTTTTGCTGACGTTGAGAGACTGATCATCCTGTAGCCTGTACAAGAAAAACTGGTAGCGATGCTCGCCGTGACCTATGGGAGGCGTCGGTGGGTAGTAGTCTGGGAAGATAAAGCACCAGTTAAGGACCCTTTTCCACGCCTCATGAGTATGGGGCATACAGGGATAGACCTATATTTTATAGCACAGATAGATTTTTTTCAAGTATCCAGAAGCCATGAGTTAACCCTTAGGCTCGGTATTATGGATATCGCAATCCTTCGGCTTTGATTCCATGATATATACCGTAAATCTGGAAGAAATTTGACCTTTCTGCCTACCTCGGGGCGTGAACCCGGAACATAAGGAGTTCGTCAATCGGTCACCGCAAAGTCAGGTTTAGCCAACTACGCTTGCGAGTCGGGCCTAGCACAGATAGATCATTGGGGTCTGGCAAGAATGGTGCTGCGAGGAGTTACAAGAGTATCTGGCCGGCGCTCAACACTCACGTCAAAGGCGAGACGGATATACAATCAGACAATTACTGGTGTCATCTGAACTCTTCGCTTGCTGTTGAAAATAGAGACGGGGCGCTTATGGGGGTGTCCCAAGTGCTGTGATGAACAAATGTCACTCGGGTGATGTAATCAGCGTTACGCCGGTCGTCTTTACTTCCCAGGGTTTGTACCTTGTACACACTCCAGGTTGTACACACTCCAGGTTGGGTGGACCTGGCAGAAAGGGTCATTTCCTTAAAAAAAAAAAAAAAGTTCAGCCCCGTCAGGACCCGAACGGGAAGATATAGTACAAACTTCTATGCTAACAAACTATGGACAAGGCAGGGGCGCCGGGCTCTGTTGAATTAAGCCCCTTAAACCCCACCCGCCTAGCCCCACCCTCTCAAGAAAAATCTCTTGGGAGCTCACCCCTCTCCCATCCTCTTTCTCAGAAAACCACACACAGAAGGTGTTTCTTTTCAAGTATACGTACATTTCTGATAAATGACTATATTTACTTCACACCCGCACACTGTTATTATTATCATGACTTTTTCAAGCTGAATGTAGTGCCGGCACCTTTGCCCTTAGAGAGATAGGACGTTCTGACGAGTTTGGAAGCAACGTGTCCACATTGCTATAAAAAAAAATGCACATTCCCCCTCCAGTATGGTATCTATAATAAGATTTCGGAACTGTAATGTGGCCGAAATATTTCTCGTCTCTTTTCTACTTCCTCCAACAAACCCCTTTTTACTGCCTGTGTCTACGGAACCTCTGTTTCTCTTACAGTTATATTCAAAGACACAAACACACATTGTCAGTACCTATGTATTCTGTTCCAGTTATGACGCTGCCGGCCGGATCAACCTGAAAACATCCATAAATCCAAAGGTTGGTAGTCAGCAGGTGTGGGCTATCGTCCTCTCACACACTGCCTCTCAAACATTGCCTCTCACACACTGACTCTCACACATTACCTCTCACACATTGCCTCTCACACACTGCCTCTCAAACATTGCCTCTCACACACTGCCTCTCACACATTGTCTCCCACACATTGCCTCTCTCATATTGCCTCTCATTTCACCCTTATATACGCATGTTGTCGGCGTATGTGGCTTACGCGTTGCTCTGAAGGTCGTGAGATAACTGTCAACATTTTTTAAATGGAGGTCCCTTGCGGTCATTGCTGGAGTTAGGGAGTTCGCGCTTTGTGCGGCAATCTCTTCAGAAGGCTAACCATTTTACGAAGAGATACCGACCATATGGGATCAAACTCTAATCAGTCGCCTTTTAATATAGGGTTTTTATTGGGTCAATCATTTCAACTTGTTTCCCAACCTGGGGCTGCCAATGAGGCCCCAGAACCGACACGGAGTTTATACATTATAATACTATACTATATGTGTACAACTTCCTTAAAAGTTATATTAATTATTGTGACTGTGGAGCTCCTGCTTCGATTCTTCTTCTTCTGCCTTTCTAGCCCCCTGTGGAGTGGAGCATAGGCCCTTAACCAACTGACGCCAAGTCCTTCTATCCTCTGTTATCGCACGCAGCTGTCCCATGTCCTCTCCATTTGTCTAACTTCCTTCTTCAGCTCTCTTCTGCATGTTTGTTTTAGGACCTTTCTTCATTTATACGCCCATGTGCGTTCCAATGCAAAGACATTCTAGTTATATTGTCCTCCGGTTTTCTCACTGTGTGTTTTATCCAACGCCAGCGTCTTTTCTTCTCCCATTATATCGAGTGCAAGGAAAAGGTTATACTTTTACGCCAACATCACACTGGCTGTCTGAACTTGCCAGGATATACTACTTCTTGTTTTGTCCTACTGTTGACGCCGAGAAGCGTCGCAGAGTGGAGCTAGCTGTAGTTTCTTTCTTTTGCTAACAGTGTAGCTCGCGTAGTCACATTGCGTTTCCATGGTGTCTCTTTTACACCATCCACCCATTTCTTTCTTGGTCGGCCTCTTGCTGTTCTAATGTAGTAGGCTCTAGCCGCTGGCTGATCTAATGCATTATCTCGCGCTCTGAAGGTCGTGGGTTCGTTCCACGGCTGCGGCTTCAGTTCACGAGTGCACTTTTACGGAAATCCCTGGGGATCGTCGCCGGAGATACGGAGCTCATGCTAACCGTTCTGTATAGAGAGGCCAAGCCAGGTGCAATGAAGTCGACATTAACCTTTAAATCTTTTTTTTCTGTCGACCTTGAAGGCAAGTTCAATGTTTGATTTTTTTTTAAATCCGACTTCGACTCCAAATAAGATTTTCTGGCCGACGGGCGAACGTCTAGCCCAGTGGCTCTCAAAGGGGTCGCGAGCCACAGGTTGAGAACCGCTGAAATAGCTGGTAAGCTAACACTGTTCCCATCTTATATCAAAGAACACTTTGAAAAAAAATTTTTTTTTGCTTACCGTTGCATCAGCAATCCAGTGGACGAATCCTTCCGTTTTGGACACAGGAGCATCTGGATCAACCATGACCATGACAACTCTGCGTATTGTCTGAAAATGGAAAGACACTGACATAAGATCATACTTTTGGAAGTTCTTTTTTTTTTCCTTCTAAGCAGACTCTGGTAGAAAGGTCTAGGTGTTAGCCTACATCTGGACTTTAGTCTTGCTCCAGAACCGGAGTGTTACGTGTACATCCGTTTCACAGATATAGCTTATTTGTATGCAGACTGTTGGTTCCTCACCTCTCAGGCAGATGTACTCCAACTTGGAAGGATGCCCCAAAAAATATTACTCCTACGACATGCTTGTTGAGGAGGCAGTGGGTCTATTCTTGAATTCTCCACAATGAGGCCCCGAGAACCACAACGGTGGCTTCTGGAAATGGAAAGGAGGAAGCTGCAGCACAGAACCCGCAAATGTGATAATTCAGTAGCGGGTCGGAGAGAAAGTCCTTCCAGCAGCCTCACTCTGGTACAGGGAAGCCGCGGTAGAGCAGTAGCTATCGTGCATTTCAAAAGTCGTACTCTTTTATTTCCAAAGACAGCAACAGAGTCTCTACAATGAGGAGGAGGAGAAGAAGACAAAGAAGGAGGACAAGGAGGCGAAAGAGAAGGAGGAGGAGAAGAAGATAAAGGAGGAGGAGAATGAGACGAAGGAGGAGGAGAAGAAGGCGAAGGAGGAGGAGGAGAAGAAGGAGAATGAGGAGGAGGAGGAGAAGAAGAAAACCACAAAACTAGCTAGACCACTCACGCCTATCCCTGGAGAAACAGTCAGCACAGGGGGCACAGTTAGTGTGTTGCCTTGAGTTTGGGGAACCTTCTGGTCGCACTGCAGGGTTCCCACCGGTGACCCATAAGTTACCTCCAAGTTGCACTGATTTGAAGGGATCACGTTCAAACACTTCATCTCTTGAGCAAGCTTCTCATCCGTGCCCTGTGACGGCACCGTTACAACGTGGAACGTCAGCACAGCTAAAACGGCAGCCATCGTGGAGACTGTGGGCTTCATTTCGGATAATAACATCTGAGGGTCTGTGAAACAAAGGCAAGCATGAGAACAGAGCGACTTATAATGCAGAAATACATGCAATCAAGACAGCAATAGAGAAAATGCTCAATAACAGTCTGCGGTGATGCACAATCCGTTCACAACCGACTACAACCACATGTTCACGACATTCAAGGTGTATCAGCCATGAGCACACGCGGAAAGGTGCCCCAGACGGCAGGCAGAACATGTACTCCAGGAATGCATCAAATATGACACATTAAGGCAAACCTTTGACCCAGAGAAGAATAGTGGAATGTAAACTCTATGTGAAATTTATGAGAGAAAATTAGTGATGTAAGCAACTTATTTCAGGCGAAGGAAAGCAGAAGAAGACTAGATTGTCCCAAGTCCACGAAGCAACAAATTCGTCTTCAGACAAGTAAATCGTTCAGGCTTGTTAGTTTTGATCAGAATATTCTGACAGACAAAATGCTCTTTTGTTTCTGTTGCGCTATAGAACGAACCATGTTTCGCCCTTTTCGTCTGTCCAGGAGATATTTATATTGTGGTAGCTGCCTTGGTGTAGCGGGTCCGCAGGTCGTTGATTGAAACCCGCTTCAAGCAGGATTTTTACTTCAAAATGACCCTGGTTCCTAGGTCAACCCTGTCTACAATAGGTACCAGTTACAGTCCTAAGAAGTCAAGACTGTCGGTTTGATGTTGACTACATCACTCACAGAGTGCCGGCTGGTCCATATAAATAAATAAGAATTTCAGTCTAGCACTCTTCCTTCTTTCTTTCCTCTACCCCTGAAATGGCTCGCGGCCTAAGGAAAGGAAGAAATCTCTGGAACGGGCTTTTCTATTCGGTTCGTACAAAGTACTTTTCAGTGTCTCTGACATTTCTGCGGTCCATCTTGTGTGTGGTCGACCTCTGGCTGTGTTACACAGGGTCCAATGTTATATTGTGTTATAAGGAAGTATGAGAAGGGTCCAATGTTATATTGTGTTATAAGGAAGTATGAGAAGGGTCCAATGTTATATTGTGTTATAAGGAAGTATGAGAAGGGTCCAATGTTATATTGTGTTATAAGGAAGTATGAGAAGGGTCCAATGTTATATTGTGTTATAAGGAAGTATGAGAAGGGTCCAATGTTATATTGTGTTATAAGGAAGTATGAGAAGATCAGGGATAAAGTTCCTTCTCTCCATAGACGAAACCTGGAATGGCTGTAGGACAATGTGTTGCCCGTGCAGTTTGATTCCTTTCTCAACATGTTTTGTTTACTCCAAAGAAAAGGTAACATAAATACGTTAGGAACAAAACATGCTGCTTGACCATTAGAGCTGCCCTGTGTACATCGGTTTGACTGTGAAAGGCAGTTACTAACCTGAAAGACATAGATTTGCTCAAACGTCTTACCCCATAACTTTTTATTCTCTCTTTTTATCTCTTTCTCTCTCTCTCTCTCTCTCTTATTTAACTAATCAATCTATCTATCAATCAACCAACCAATCAATCAATCAATCAATCAATCAATCAATCGCTTAATCAATCAATCTGTCTGTCTGTCTGTCTGTCTGTCTGTCTGTCTGTCTTCTCTCTGTCTTCCTGCTTGCCAGTCGGTCGGTCGGTCGGTCGGTCGGTATGTCTGTCTGTCTATCTGTGCGCGCCTGTGTGTGTTTTATGTTATCACAAATTACTTTGTTGCAGACTGGGCATTTCCCATGCGCGCTTAGTCCTACGATACAGCAGCGAACTTTCTCTGGGTATACATGTATGTATGTATGTATGTGTGTGTGTATGTGTATTTATACACATATATATGTATGTGCACGCGCGCACGTGCGAGAGTGCGCCAAAGAACACGGCACAGACTATAAGTTAAACAAAAATTGCAATCTGGACTTTGCCGATATGTGTACGTTCCCAGAGTAAACACAAATGTTGACAACAACGGTCCTGAAATACCATGCTATCATTGTGGAAGACCTTTCCTAATGCGTGTCGGTCTTGCTAGTCACACTCGCCACCGCCATGGGCTGCAAGTCCCATGACTCCTCATAGCGCAGAATAACAATATTGTCTGGAAAGACGGAAAGGTGCCAATCATAACATATCACGATCATGACACTGGTGTGTGTCAATGTATATGTACTGATTTCAGCACTGGTGTGTGGTGTAAGTATATGTACTGATTTCAGCACTCGTGTGTGGTGTAAGTAAATGTACTGATTTCAGCACTGGTGTGTGGTGTAAGTATATGTACTGATTTCAGCACTGGTGTGTGGTGTAAGTATATGTACTGATTTCAGCACTGGTGTGTGGTGTAAGTATATGTACTTATTTCAGCACTGGTGTGTGGTGTAAGTATATGTACTGATTTCAGCACTGGTGTGTGGTGTAAGTATATGTACTGATTTCAGCACTGGTGTGTGGTGTAAGTATATGTACTGATTTCAGCACTCGTGTGTGGTGTGTGTATATGTACTGATTTCAGCACTGGTGTGTGGTGTAAGTATATGTACTGATTTTAGCACTGGTGTGTGGTGTAAGTATATGTACTGATTTCAGCACTGGTGTGTGGTGTAAGTATATGTACTGATTTCAGCACTGGTGTGTGGTGTAAGTATATGTACTGATTTCAGCACTGGTGTGTGGTGTAAGTGTCGTATGGCAGTTTTGTCGCGCGCCTTTACTTACGGGATATTTTCACAAATCCCTCAGGTGCTCTGAGACAGGAGTGTTTTGAATGGTGGCTCTCGTTCGTCTAGAGGCCTAACCCTCGGTTCAAACTTTCCATTCAACCTGTCTCAGGGATGAGGTGACTCGAGCTCTGACTCCACAGGGTTATTATGAACACTTGGGTACCTCTCGGCCAGACGTCCTCATCACTAATTTGCCCCCAGACTGGTAACAATGTAACACAGTCAAACAAGTAAACAACAGTGATTATGACAAGACGTGAATACCTTTCTAACTATGACAATTAATTCACCACAGTGATTTAGCTAAGAACAGCAACACTGGTGAACTATAATTGAACTGTATTAATAACTTCATAACAAGAAAGATCAAAAGTAGCACGAAGAATCAAATGAAAGATTGTTGAATTCTCTAAAGAACAAAGACAAAGAAATAGTCTTCTTCCTAATCTACGTCTCTTTCCGGTATCATCACAGCTGAGGTGAGGGACAGATTATAAAGGCCCATTTGGAATCAAGCTGCCTCAGATTGTCACTCTGACTTATCTGTTTAGATCTTGTAGCTCCTCAGGATGCCGGAATGGAGTTTCGGACCACCTCACTTCACAGAACGACTACACGAGAACGATGCAGCTTCTGGAATTGATCAAGGACAATCAACTCGAGATCGGAAGATGTCGACTCTAGTACCGCCTACACATTCAGCAACAGCAATTCACCACACGTCAGTTGCTTCTTGGGTGGTGGTAGGTGGAAGCACTCAGTTAGACCACGGACGCTCGTTGGATCTTCAGAAATCTCATGATAAATGGAAAGAGAATAAAGAATCTTGTCTTTTTAACGGTCAAGTGGCAACACAAAAGGAATACGTCTGCCTCATAGACCGGACCATAGAGAAGTGAAGCATAAAAATACAGTCCCCAACTACGGCAGTTGGTGTAAGAATCCTGCTCACGTATGCGGTGAAGTGGTCAGACAATTTATTTTAAATAGGCGTAGAAAATGTGTCCTAACGTGTAAATCGACACTAAAAGCCTAAAAGAATCAATATCAGGGTGATTTATAGGGATTTTTCTTATCTGGACTCCCCCACAACAAACGAACTATATAATTACGGTCGGCCTAACCTGTATCATAGTTACAATGACGATTTTGGGGGTGTTCAGACTGTGGACCTGCCTCATGCGGTAGGTGTGTGGATTCTGTCATGCGACAGGGCTCCCCCAAAGGAGATGAGCGGTCACGCGAATCGAACAACAGCATCACACACCTAACCGTCAGCAGGTTCAGGTCCCACAACATTGTCCCCATCCTCAGTCAGCACGTCAGCAGACGAAGGGTGGCGACTCAAAAAGTCTGCTCCCACATTCTGACCACCGGGAATATATTCTACGGTGAAAGAATAGGGTTGCAGCAGCAACGACCATCTCATCAACCTTGGGTTCAGGTGGGCAGATGAAGCCAGGAACACCAAAGGTTGATGGTCCGTCTGCACAGAGAATTTCACACCATATAAATACGGTTGAAATTTTTGGACCGCCCAAACCAACGCTAGACACTCCCGCTCTATACAGGAGTAACCGCGCTCTGCCACATTAAGTTTTCGACTGGCGTAGGCGACAGGAAACAAAATCTCCGGGTCCTGAATCCCAGATTGGAGCAATGCAGCCCCAATTCCGATGCCACTCGCGTCCGTCCTCAACACAAAGGGTTTAGAGAGATCAGGCAACTGCAACCTGGGAGAAGACGTCAATTTCTCTTTTAGCGTGTTGTAGGCATCTTCGCATTCAGGAGTCCAACATACCTTTTCAGGATGGTCGTTCCTAAGCGCATCCGTTAAGGGAGCAGCTATGGAGTTGAAATTTGGAATAAATTTCTGGTAGTATCCGCACAAAGATACAAATGAACGGACCTCCTTTTTGGTACGTGGTCTAGACGCGTTCCGGAGTTTCTCGACATTCTTGGATTCAGGTCTGAAAGTACCTTCGGACACAGTGTGTCCCAAGAACTCGAGATTGGGCCAGGCCAGTTTACACTTAGTGGGTCGGGCTGTCAGGCCTGTTTCTTTCAATCGATGCAGCAGTTTCTGCAAGGACTGAATATGTGCTTCAAACGTTTCGGAAGCCACCAAAATGTCATCCATAAAATTGATGATAGTGGGGTCTTTTAGAGGATCTAAAAGTAACCGCATCATTTTGGTGAATACCCCGCAAGCATTGCAGGTTCCGAACGGAAGGACATTAAAGTGATAATGGGCGTCCGAAGTGCTAAAGGCCAGATATTTACGAACTTCTTCCTTAACCGGTATCTGGTAATACCCCTTGCTCAAGTCAAT